CACTCACATACACACGAACACACATTCTCCTATCTATTGATGGAGAGCGCCACCTGCTAGAAACTAGGTCCAACATCCTATGAACATCATGAATAAAGCACCAACTGAGACCCCACATATTGTCTACCACTTGGGCGCAGGGAATACAGTCTTAAGGTAGCCAGCGCAATGAGACTAAGAGCGAGCACAACAGAAAGAAGGAGAGAGAGAGTTAGTTTTATTTCATTTAATGTAGCCAACGCAATAAGACTAAAAGCGCGCACAAGAGAGAGAGAGAGAGAGAGAGAGAGAGAGAGAGAGAGAGAGAGAGAGAGAGAGAGAGAGAGAGAGAGAGAGAAAGAAAGAGAAAGAGAAAGAGAGAGAGAGAGAGAGACAAAGAGAGAGAGAGAGAGAGAGGGCAGGGGGGAAAGAGAGAGAGAGAGAGTTAGTTTTATTCCATTTGCTGATATGAATGAGAGAGAGAGTCGGAGAGTGAGAGATAAAAAAATAGATAGAGAGAGAGGGAGAGGGGGGGGACTACTACAGAGAGAGAAAGAGAGAGAGAGGGAGAAAGAGAGAGAGAGAGAGAGTTTTGTTCCATTTGTTGATATGCGAGAGAGAGAGACGACGGGTGACAAAGAGAAAGGAAGAGAGATAAACAGAGAGGGAGAGAGAGAGAGGGGGGGCCTACCAGAGAGAGAGAGGTTAAATGGCAAAATTGAAATATGGATCGAATTGCGGCTGCGATCTATTTCACGGTTGGAATAATTTTTATAAATTTATTTAGCATTTTTTATTAAAAAAAGGCAACAAAATCTACGAGCACTAGTTTTCAAGTTTTTTTCACGCATTCTTCTGAGCACGAAAAATCACTGAATTTTGAGTTCTTTTTCAGTTAACCCACACACGGCTGAGTGACAAAAATGAAAAATGTGTCGAATCGGCACGACGATCATTTCACGGTCTAAATGATTTTTTGAAAATGTTCTGATATTTTTTATGAAATAACAAGACCTCATCGATGGATTCTCCAAATTTCAGATTTTCCTGCGGATTCCTCCGAGCAAATAAAATCGTCAAAGTTGTCTTTTGCAAAACGTCTGTTTCGTTGCACCTGACCTCCCTGTTTTGAGAAGACGAGCCTCAAGGCTTAGACCTGAGGACCCTTTTGCGGTCCACATGCCCTTATTTATTTGCCCCTACCCAGGGAAATGAAGGGGGAGAAGGAAAAGGGGAAACGACCGTGAATTTGGTCACGGTTATGGAACAGGTGCAGCCCGTATAAGTTTTTAGGAGCCGACGGGACTGCACCTGTTCGTTTTTTAACAGGCTGCTGCAAATGGCTGAATTCAACCATTTTGCTACCACGTTTGGCTTGGAGAAGTGGCCAGGTGCATAGCCAAAACCTGGGATTTGATTTTCCTTGTGGAACATCAACATTCTCAGCCCTCGATCGAAGTTCAGATCGAGGGCTAGGCTCAGCCCCGTTTTTTTTGGTTGAGCCTCAAGTGGCTGACCACCACTCCAACCCAGCTATAAAAGCAGGGTTGGCCAGCAACATCCTCACTCAGTTGAGGTGCTGCCCACATATGACTCAATGTGGAGTAGTGAGCAGCATTATGCTGCCGAGGTGTTGAGAGGTGGAGTGGAGGTCTGCCGTGGGCGTGGAAGTGGAGGCAGCCATAGCCACCACTTCACTTTGTGAAGTGCTGGGGGAGATGCTGCACGGCGGCGGCAGTTTTTGTTGACGTGGTGCGGAAGCGCTGCCGAAATTTTTGCGGCAGCAGCACCGGGCTTGACGGCGGTGATGCGGAAGTGTTGTCGAAATTTTGCGGCGGCAGCGCCGGGCTTAACGGTAGTGGTGCGGAGGCGCTGCCGGTTTTGCACGGCGGCAGCGACGCTGTCAGTGAGGAAGTGCTGCCGTTTTTTTTTGGCACGACACGCGACAACATTCTTCTGTGGGATCATGTTGCCGAAGTTGGCGGCGACAACAATATTTTCATTGAGGTTATGCTAGCGGCACGTCAACAACACTATTGTGAGGGAAAACAGTGCGGATCTTTTGCGTCACAGTGGAGGCAGTTTTGGTGTGTGATTTGGCGGTGGTGTTGAGGGGCGGCATGGTACCGGTTTTGACGGCGCAGCAAGCAGTGGTCCGCGCTATTTTGTGGTGCGCGGTGGTTATGGTGGATTTTAGTGTGGCATAGAGGTTGGGCTAGCGTTGGTGCGTGGTTGGGACTTGCGGCAGTGGTGCGTGGATCGACGTTATGCATGAAGTGCAAAGCAATTGCACGCGGCGAAGTAATTATGGGGCTCGCGACACCTGTGGGTTTCACCAAGGGCCACCTTTATTTTTTTTGCGGCGCGCAGTGCAAGCGGTCTTGAGTTCTGGACCATCTGGTATTGCGGGCGATATTATGGGATTGCATTGGGACCATCTGAGACCATTTCGGGACTAGGTGGGACTAGTTGTTGAGATCGGGACCGATATATTCATGTGGTTATTGTAAGCGGACATGATGATTTAAGGCGGCGTGAACTTGCGTTTGGTTAGAGAGTGTCAATTGGAGGACGTGATGCAGTAGGGACTGCGTTGAGACTGTCTCGGATGTCGAGGCGACGTGGGGTTGGATCATGGGAGCACCCTCTTCGAGGGTTATCTCAGCTAGACATCTCATTGGACCTGACCTTAGTGTGATTAGGTACTTGGAGAAAGACGCGGACTGTGGCTCAGAAGAAAGACCACTACTACTGAAGTTGTGAGCCGCGTATTTTCGTATGAGCCGCACATTTCATATTCAACGGCGATTTTTTTCTTCTGATTAGGATA